GCGGTCCGAAGGGAAAACAAAGGAAGATATTCAGTTCATGGTCTGCCAGGTTAAATAAGCTGAACTTCACACAAAACAAAGACTACAGCTAAAGCAAACACAGTCCAGTCAATAAAGAAAAGCTGGAGGACATTATTGAAGAACATTGTTGGAAGCCAGCGCCAACCAAAACACGTCTGCACCGCGTTTACAGTTTCACAGATGTCCAGCAGATGTCAGCAGATGTTACCGGTAGAATCTAGAAAGGCAATATTTACTGCTCGGCTCCTCACTTCCTTACTTATATCTTCTCCCAGACACTCTACGGCGTCTCTCCTTCATCAATCAATCCTTCATCTCTCTCTCTATGTCCAGGCAATATCTTCTCTCCCATGACTCGCCAGCTCCGTCCCATATCCTCCCATCTTTTTCTCTTGTTCTGTGTAATTAAATTTGAACAGCGAAAGGTTGACTGTCTGCCTGTGCTGGAAAACAAATCGATCATCCTCTTATCTCTGAGCCACACAGCTGACAATGTTCTGAGGTTTGTGAGAGGCAGACTGCAGTGGGAGAAACTCGCAGGGATGTTTCTGAACACACCGCAGCTTCTTGCCAACTTGCTTATCACCCTCTGATTTGGTTTCTTCCATAAGAAACTTCAGCTCACATCAGGCCGACTTTGACGTCTTCCTCCTCCCTCTGGAGCGACTCGCTCCTCGGTTTGCCTCCTGATCATCTGATCTGGTTTAGCTGGACGAGGTGATTGCGCTATAACTTTCAATCCGTGTCCTCTGCAGCAGCGTTTCTCAGAATTTTCAGCCCCACTGCTCCACAATATCTGTTCCCCGTATGAAATTAGGCGCACGCTGATCTAATTTTCTCGAGATGTTATCCGATTATCTTACAAAACTGACATACATTTACTTATTTAAAGCTCCACAAAGGTCACCTGATTGGACAGATACCAAGATAAACAGGTCTGGGTCGTGAGCAGCCTTTACAGTAATTTCGTGCTGCCTATTTAAATCAGTGGGAAAAATACACTGATGCTGCCAGTGTAGGCTCTGTTACGGTGCCATTTTATTAGATATTATTTATTATTAGCTACAACTAGATTATTATATACCATTTGAGAGCAGTTTTTAACTGTCTGCCTGAAGGTTGCATGTCTGACCTTTTGACAGCTCGTTGCGGTGACGTTTCAGTGTGCTGACCACTTCTTGGAGCACATTTCTACTCACTGGAGCAAAGTGAGGTTATTAAAAATGACATTTTCAGTCGCTCTTTGAAGTGTTAAAAGCAGGCCAACAAAGAATAATCAGTGCTTCTGTGTGATACAGAGATTTGCTTTTACAACCATTGAGTGCACATTTGAGTGCTTCATAAACTAAGGTTAGAAAAACCAGCTAACAGCACTCACTAATCAGTTATAAGACGGTTTTAAGACCGACCACCTCAGCTGATTGGTGTTTATCGTCTCTATTTGATGGTCGACATGCCAGTAATGTGATTAATGTAATTTATGTGGCGCTTGCCGGTTTCTCTTATTCTATCGATCTGTTATTAGCTTGGATGATGATTTCCTGTCTGATGGCTCATCAGAGGAACCATGTCACATGAATACTGGGCTTCCAGAAGAACGATGGCCAAGCCTTCAAACGTCATTGCCGTCTGATAACCATCAAGTCTGCAGTTAATGTATAAATGTGAGCCTGTCATTTCACTACAATCCATCTGCAGCTGTAAATATTTAATAGTTTCTTAACAAATGCATTTTGGACAATATTTTCTGCAGCCTTCTCCCTGAAAGTCATCTAACAGTGCATTGTTGTTTTAAAGAACAATGTAAAAGACAAAGCAGCTGTTGGAGTGGAGGAGGATTTTCTACAGTCTCCCTCTGGACAGCTGGTGTATTGTTAGGAGATAAATCATTGGTGAAACTTATAAAACTTCACGGTGGAGGTGATGTGATTGTGATGACATAGCATCTGGTCTGATGGTCAACAAGCTCGATTTTGTTCTCATCAGACAAAGAATCTTCTTCCAGTTGACTTCATTAAGCATTAGGTGACGATATGCCCATGAACCCTGAAGCTTGTGCCTCCTTCAGAGGAGTCACAGGTGTCTTGGTGTCCTCTGTCACTTCTTTTTTTCTTGCACGGTCACTGAGTTCTTGTGGATGGCCTGCTCGAGGCAGATTTATGCCATAATCCACCCATTTCTTAATTATGGATTTACCTGTGAGGGCTGCAAGGTGGTGCAGTTGGTTAGCACCACTGCCTCGCAGCAAGAAGGTCGCCGGTTCGCATCCCGGTGGGGGCACCGGAATCTTTCTGCGTGGAGTCTCCATGTTCTCCCCGTGCAGCGTGGGCTCTCTCCGGGTTCTCCGGCTTCCTCCCACAGTCCAGAAACATGTTGAGGTTAATTGGTGATTGTAAATTGTCCGTAGGTGTGAATGTGAGGGTGCTTGGTTGTCTGTCTCTAAGTGTAGCCCTGTGATAGACTGGTTACCTGTCCAGGTGAACCTGCCTTCACCCTGAGTCAGCTGGGATAGACTCCAGCCCCCCATAGTGAGGATTAAGCGGTGTATAGATGATGGATGGATTTACCTGTACTTTAAGGGATAATCAGGGACTTGGATTTTTCTTCTTTATCCATTCCCTGCCTTTCAATAACGTTGTCATTGAGTTTCTTGGATGTTCTTTTGCCTTCATGGTGCAGTTACAGCCAACAGTACTGATTCACCACTGACTAAACCTTCCTGAATCTGGTGTCTTTATACTATAATCACCTGAGACACATTCACTGCACTCAAATAAAGTCTATTTCACTAAATGTGTGACATGAAGCACCAGTTGGCTGCACCTGTGTTGAATGAGGGGAGTGGTTTAAAAGGGGGTGAATACTGATGCAATCACTTAAATTTAATTATTATTATTGTTGTTGATTTTTTAACATTTTTAATCAATTGACATTACTTTGTAGAAATCTGTTTTCACTTTGACATGAAAGTTTTTGTCAAAAAAGAGAGAAAAAGTTAAATTAAACTGACTAAAATATTGAAAAGCCACAAAAAGACCAAACTTCCGGTGGCGGTGAACACTTTTTACGTGTCACACACCCTGAACCTCTTCGTGTTTTCACATTAGAGTGTTATTAAAGAGTCGTGGTCATGTGTTCGCGCGTTTTCTGTTTTCGGTTGTAAATTTCACTGCGTGAGCGCGCATTTGACGGCAGAGCGCGTGGCCCGGAGCCGCTCGCTCCCGCAGCCGCGCGGAGGATCCTGACAGCAGCATCACTTGAGCAGCGCAGGGTTCAAGTCACAGGTGATTCTCTGCGCTGCTGTGTCTCCGTGAACCGGCAACACAACTGTTTGTTGTCTTGTGCGCAGAAACTCAGAGCTGCCGGTCAGTCACTGGGAGAGAACCAGAGCAGGACACCGGGATTAACGGGATTCACTGGTACTTGGAGGTAAGCAACTCAGTTCTGCTTATTTAAATGCACAATAATGCCTCTCTGTCTGTCATGCATGGAGCTCATGTGGTGGTTTAGCAGCTTCCAGTTTTGAACAAAAGCTCATTTCCTGTGATGAAATAAATAATGCAAAATTAAAAAAATATATATAGACTATTTTAAAGGTAAAAAACACAACAAAACAAGACAGAGTGCATGCTGTGGGTGTGATGAGATGAGCAGAACAGTCTGTCCACATGCGCTTTGTGTCTGCAGCTCAGCAGCAGGTTATCCAGGTTCAAAGGTTTCTGACTGATTCGGTTTAAAATGGCATGCAATCCAGCCTTCAGTGGCAGCGCTGATCGAAGGAATTGACCGGAGGAGTGATAGGCAGCTTCAAAGTGTGCATGTGTGTGTGGGTCAAGTCAATCTCTGCCATAGGTTCCTCATTTACATAGTCTAATGACTTATTGGCTGGCTGTAGGTTAAGAGGAGCATGCAGTGGGGGGCAGAGCTGCACTGCTCTTATTTAAGGTTTAACATCCAGCTGGTAGGTAAACGTTAGAGCTGACCATCTGGAGAGGAGACTTTCTGGTTGTTGGATCAGTGTGAGAGTGGTAGCAAGCATGCAAGGGTTCACAATGCAGACAGTTTAATTAAGCTCAGTCATGTTTTGCAAGATGTTAGAGACTCACAGCAGCATCACTTTGCAGCTCGTCCTTTTGTAATCAGTAAATTAAAACATGATCAGGTGGAGGAATCCCCCTGCAGCGTCGCTCTAAACACAGCCTGCTCCACAGCCCTCTCAGGATGTGCGGCATGGACGTGGACCTGGACGACGGCGGCTCGGCTGAGGAGGAGAAAGAGGAGGAGTTCTGGATGGGGGAGGGAGTGAAGATGCTGCCCCCTCCTGTGGCCCACAGCGGGGGGAGTGCGTGGGGCAGCCGCCGGGGCAGGTGTGGCTGCGTGGCCTGCGGGGCGGCTCTCATCCTCTGGAACCTGTGCGTGGTCTTGGCCAGTGCTCTGCTGCTGGCCGTGGTCTTCTCCGTGGTGCTGCTGCCGGCGGTGCTGCTGCTCTACGCCGGGTTCCTCTGTCACTCCAGGGTGAGTCGCCTGAGGCAGCAACTTAACTGTTTATTGTCTTTGCAGCAGGATTTAAACTGATTTAAAGCCCCACATTCAGGTTGTAAGGTTGCATCTAAGCCATTCATATATTGAGCAGAGATTCAGCTGCAAAAGGTCAAAGCTATAATATTAGATGCATGATGTTGTTTCCTAGTTGCAGGAACCACACTGGACCTCACAATGCAAAACAAACAGTATAAAGATTTGGGATGGCTGAGCTCTACAATAAAATATACAACACGCTCACATATTTTCACCACAAATGATCTCAAAGCCACAAAATGTTCCTGTTTCATCCAATGGGATAGTTTTCTGTCTCTCACTTTGCAGTGAATTTGAATGTCAAGTAGACACTCATCACGCATGTCACCATACAAATCAAACACGCTGAACATACTGGAGCCGCTGTTTTTGTCTAAACCACTACACTGGCCTCATTTATTGGAAGCAAACATACATACAGCATCCAGTCTGCTTCCTCTCACGGTGCCGCCTCATGCATTGGAAACAAGAGTTAATAAATTCTAACATGTTAATGATCTGGAAGAAAAACCACTTGGCTGCCCTGAGGCGCTACATTTCTGTATCGTAAATATTTTTCCTGCATTAGCGGCTAGCTTGAGAACATAGTGGAGCATTTAGCATCTGGAGAGACAGATGTTTCCTTCGGGAGTTGGTGGAGACCAATAAATGGACAGTGCATATTGGATTTACATTTATCAGGTGGCCACAGCTTCAAGTAAATGCTAATATTGCTCCATATCTGCTGGTTTCCATAAGTAAGCAGCTCGGTGATGCTCCTATCCGCGGTATGTTTACAGCTCGTTTCTGGACAGTCAGTGTGTGCAACAGTTTGCTCAACAAACAATATATTTAGCTGATTTTTGAAGTAAACAGGCAACCCCTGCAGTGAACAGACAGTAATAATTAGCCTTTTGTGTTTGCTTACTTTTGATTATTAAATACATAGAAAAAGAACTAAACAGTAACTGCGATGTGTGAAAGTTTGGGCGTCCTTCTGCTTCATTAACGTGTTACTTCAACAACCGTCCAGTTCCACGGTTCGATAACTTCTCTGACCCTTCAAACCTCCGAGCAGCTGATCTGAGGATCTGAAAGTGAAACCAATTTACTCCTCAAAAGCAGGATGAAGGCAGTAAAAAGATATCAAAGAGCTTCCTGCTTGCAATTTCCGCTGTCCAATTCCATTACAAAATGGCAGTTAAGGGGAAGTGTGGAAGTCCAGACAAGATCTGAAAGAGCAAGAAAGCTTCGAGATAAAACTGGACTGAGAGCTAAAGCAGAGCTTCTGTAGCTGCAGGAAGTTGATGCACGGAGTCGACATGGAAGAGTCACGGGAGGAAAACTACCTGCAGCCTCATCACGGTAGGAAGTACGAAAATAAAAAAAATCTGGAGTTAAATCTGAGCCTTTAAATGCACGTTTGTACAAAAAGAAGAAGCAGCATTCGATGTGAAGAACACCCTGCCTACATGGAGGAGCAAATATTCTGCTTTGGGGGTGTTTTGCCGTCAGCGGCGCACGAATTCAGCAAATTGTGGATTCAAAATGAGTCATTAAGTCAGTCGAGAAACCAACACTGGTAATGATCCAAAGGAGGCGTCAAAATCCAGCAGAAACCAGCCGCTGAAGCTTGTGGAGCGTCACTCTCCGTCTCCTGACGTGAGCTTCATTACAAATCTGTTAAGCATGCAGATTGAATTCGAAATGATCTGCAAGAAGTGAAATTCCTAAATCAGGAATGGAAAGACTCTCAGCTGCTACGTGAAGCATTTTCAGGCGGTGGTTCGGTCGTATGGACTTGCTTTCTCTTCGTCGTGAGGACGTAAACAACTGGCTGCAACGAAACCTTCATCAGCTAAATAAAGACAAGACAACGGCTCTGTTTGGCAGCAAAGAAGGAAGACTTTATTACTGACACCCAAGTCATAAATCTCTTTGCCGTTACTGATGAGGATCTAAGTATCAGTCGCCACATCAGAGCTTCATAAATCATTCGTCATTCTTTTAAAAACATGGACGACCTGAAGAAGTTTGTGTCCAAGCAAGATTCAGAAAAACTCATTCATGCTTTGAGGAAGTTTAAACTGCCTCTGGTGTTTTTTTTTTTTAACTTGTCTGCATTTTTATTCAGTTAATTTCTATGAATTTTCATCTTGTTTACTCTGTACTTCATATTAGCATGTTTGTTCTTCTTGTTTTAGTCAAGCATTTTTAATTATTCTGTAAAAACTCTGCACTTTATTCAATTTTTCTGTTTTAAAATGATTGAATTCTGCTGCATTTTGTTTTGTTTTTTCTTTCACACGTTGTAATTTTTGACCTTCGCCTTTTGGCACTTTGAATAACTTCTGTTTGCTCACTTGCCAGAGTGCTTGGGAGGGTGCCCAAACTTTTACACACTTTGAAGTAACCTTTAAAGGTAACACAAGTGCGCTGACATTCAAAAGAAAAGCTCTGTTTGCTGCAGGGGTTGTATTTACGTCCTCTCACTTCAAAAATCAACAAAATATTTGCCCGGGGCCGTCCAAGTGTTTGCACACAACTGCAGAAATATGTTCACAAATCATTTACGGGGAGGAACCTGCGCTGCTCCGAGCCGCTCCGTCTTCTTTGTCTTTGGTGGAAGTGCAGACGACGGAGCCAGTTGTGGAGAACAGGAGGATTATCTGTCATTAAGATTGGCACGAGCAGCTGGAGTCTCGGCTGAAGGAAGCAAACAATTGGCCTTCGGGGAACGTCTTCGTGGCAGCGTGCTGCTCGCGTGAGGCCGACATCCTCCCCACGAAGGTGTTCAGACTCCTTCTTGGTGTTTGCGCTCAAAACACAGAACGACTGGAGCTGAATGTCGAAGCTTGTCAGGAGAACGGGTGTGGTCCGTTCTGTGCGAGTCACACGAGGGGCAAATAGATCATCAGTGAAACGTGGTGAGTCTGGGCGTCATGTCAAATCACGCTGAGGTAGATCTACAGCGCTGTCCTTGGCTCACATGACAGGTCATAAAATCACATCCCGCGTTTGATAAACTTCCTGCCAGAGACCCCTGTTGTCTCGGTTACGAGTGATTTGCTGCCTGGCAGCACAGACACACTGAGAACGTGCAAAGTGTGTTCCTGGAAGAAGACTTTAATTGCGATTAGGGCCGAGAAAATGTCAGTTCAGAGCAAATAATTACAGACATTGTCAGTCAGAGTTGTTGCTATTGTGGCGACAGGCTGAACATGCGGAGAGGGACGCAGCGAGAAGACAAGACTGTCTGATTTGCTGCCAGCACCAGCTGTGCACAAACACACTGACAGCAGGAGGAAAATGTGCTCAGTGAAAGCAGCGTGCACTTCCCAGAGGTGTGTTTGTCTGCTAAGCGCTACTGTTGCTAGGGTGCATTGGTGGTAGTAGGCAAAGTTCCCTTTTGAACAAGCTTACAATAGGAAATCGTTTCAGCAGAAGAGCTTCAGATGTAAGCAAAGGATTTGGAGTGCGTCTGAGTGTGTTCATGAGTTGGACAAAGAGGAGGAGATGATGTGCTTCATGTGCTGCTGTGGGCTCTTGTGACGCCGTCGCTGTGTACTCATGCAGCTGTGGGTTCATCTCAGTCCTTGCTCTTTTCTCCGTCATTGTTTTGTTGTGGCCTCCTGCTGGTCCCCCCTCCTCCGTCTGACTCGTCCTCACCGCTGATTGACAGCTCAGAGGCTTATTGACAGTGCTGAGCCCATCCTTATCTTACGTGGAGGAGAGAAACTCTGTCACACCTCGCTACGCTCACACTGCTGCACCCTGAGCTCACATCCACACAGTCATCATAGTTAATGAATGACAAATCCCACCTATTGTCTATCTGGAAGAAGAGAAGCAGCTCCAGCTGGGGCCAAACTGTTTGTGCACCTTTTTTGTCTCCTCTGACACCCCCCTGCTCTGTGTTTGCCCTCGTAGGTCCTTGATGCCCCCTCCGCCATCTGCCGTTACCTCGACGACAACAGCTGCTCCGCCCTCATCATCCTGGGCTTTGTGATGATGTCTCCGCTCGTGGTCGTGGCCGCTGCAGTTTTCTGCGGCCTGCTGCGGAGGTTTCGACTCCTGCTCTTCATCCAGCCCATCACGCGCGCCTGGTACCGGGGGAGGCTGCTGGACTGGGCGGGCAGCCTCCACGCCTGGGTCTGATCGGAGACGAGCTGCTGAGGGTCGTTGGAAGGAGAGATTGGAAAGTTAAATCTGTGTAACATCAAGCAGGAAGACGCAGAGGGTAGACAAAATAACAGAAACACCTCACAGTGTAATCAGTGTGACGTTAGTCCTGCCTTCATTGTTGTGATCAGTTCTGTCGATGTTGAGTCACAAGTGCTGACGTCAGCTAACTGGCTGTCAGTGGCGGTTTGGTGATCACGCTCTTAATTGTTTGTTCAATATGAAACTACATCCAGAAGTTGATTAGCTTAGCTTAGCATAAAGACAGGATATGGCAAACAGCCTAGCAAGATTAGAGTTAATAAAACACAAATCAGATAGTTTTATAATAACCATGTTGTGTGTTAATTAGCGACATTTAGACGTGCTTCTTGTTGTTCTTTGGTTTTTATGCTAAGCTAAGCTAAGCTAAGCTAAGCTTTCTCTGGCTTCCCCCTTTAGTCTTAATGTACGTCTGCAGACACCACAGAAATGTATTATAATTAATTATAATAATGTTAGTGATGTTACACTTTCTGTGTCCATGAGTACACAAAAGTCTGTGTTACATACATTTCGCAGCTACTCAAGTCCACAAGAACCCATGCGGACCCGTCTGCCAAGTTTTGTGTCCCGGCAGATGCTCCAAGGGCAGCAGTGAACGAGCTCGGCCCGATGTGTGGAATACACATTATGTACAGAACAAAGTCGTCCCAGCAGACTCCAAATGAACGAGGAAGCAGTAAAACAGCAACAACTACGTCCACAGCTGTCCGAGTGCATGTCTGAATATAATCAAGGCTGTATAAAACTTTCTCGTCTGCTGGGAGGACTCTGTACATGTGCAGTTCTGTAGGTCATCGTGTTTCACACATGCACCCCTCGGCCCTGTAGCCTCGTCGCTGTGTGTAACGTCTGCAGGAACCCAAACGTTAGGCTGCACCCATGTATTCACAAAGAGGTCTGAGCAGACGCATGCAAAGTTTGGAGAGTTGACAAAATTTCACCAAGCAGACGCTCACATATGTACAGTGGCCTTATATTCAAAGCACAGAGTTGTATCACTCTGGTCATCCAACTTATAGAAAAAAAAAAGCAAATAAACATACTTTCATAAATATTAAACTCAAGTCAAGTTTGGTGGTGCTGTCATGTTGATTTGCATATTTAAAGCAGCAGCAGTCTCTATTATTTTGTCTACCCTCTGCATGTTTTTGAGATCAGATTGTACTGAAGTGACTCGTAGCAAATTCCACACAATCTCACTTAGAAATGGAACAGCTGTAAGTGTTAAATGGAAGGTGTTTTTTTACTTTAATTTTACATAAAAGCATCATTAAGGTCACACAACATATTCCACTCTCATGTTATCGAGGGAACAAAATGCAAAGTGGGACAGTCGAGAAAGAAATTAGGAATCTTTGTGGAAAGTAAAGAATAAAAACAGGTTAAAAACAGACAAACTTAAACAGAATTACAATTTTGTTTTGAGGATGCATCACAGTCTGGTTTAGGAAAACAGTGTTTATTTTGATTTTGTATATAGAAGTAATATTTTTGTGATTTTGTGCGATGCTGACATGGCTACATGAGGGATTTTCTCAGAGATGCAACCTTGTTTGTGGTTGCACAGAACTAGTCGAGGAAAAAGTCGAACCATTTTTGCAAACGTCAGACTCGGTGATCTGCTTGGAGTTTAACTTTGTCCAGTTTGTTGGGCTCAATTCTTTGGAGTCTTCAAAAATAAAAAAGCAAAATAAAAAAAGCAGCATGCTGGGACTTTGATGTTGTCTGTGAGGTGAATATAATGGACAATGATGTTTGTACTCAAGTTTACCTGATGTAGCATCGCTAGCAGAGGGAGTATATGGAACGTATTTCATTTTAATGCATCTTCTGGACCACATTGTGCCATAAAAACAGCCTTCATTATGAACACAACATGACAGCATGGCAGCATAATGGCTGTTTAGTGGCAGCCAGGTGTTAAAGAGGGATTTGAATCATCAGATCAGGAGCTCATTTTGCTTCCTCTTTGCTTTCAGGCCATTTAAATTCATCAGTGACAAATGCACTGCACATCCTTTTTTATCTGCGTCCTCGCTCTGTAATTAAGTGTTCGGTTTTGCAGGTTCATTTCTCAGAGGAAAGAAATGAACCATATTTCATAACAAGCAGTTATTCATTGTCCTGTGCCACTGTTATCAAACTGAAATATATTTATTTGTGTTTTTTGTCTCCTGTTACGTCAGTCGGGTTACATGCACAGCCACCGCCTGTGTGTGTGTGAGTAGTTTATTTTTTTGCTTACAATAATGAAACCCTCCTGATTACAGTAATTCAGAAAACTCTGCAAGAGAAAGGACGAGACATATTCCTTTTCATTCTCACAGGGTTGTAAGCCGGCACATATTACACCTAATGTTGGAAAAAATTGCATCGGCTAATCGAGGTTTATTTTATTTTTTTGTTCAGCTTTTCAGTTTAGCGTGAACCAAACAGCATGTACCGACCTTCCACCAATAAACAGAGCACCATCTTTTTTCTCAGCCTGTCTCTTTTGTGTCGTGACCCGTTTCTAAAGGTTGGGACGCTTTAATGCTTAAAGCAACGTCATGGTGTTTACTTCTGACTTCCAAACATACACACACCTAAAAATATTCCGCCGAGGACACCGTGACCCTCATTTCCAAACAAAACAATATGACAAAGCCTGACTGCTGACCCTCAGCTTACCCTCTGCTGTCTGCGGTCACATCTGTGCAGTGCTGCTGAGTAAATTAGCTAATTAGAGGAAAATGTTTCCTCTGTTTATGCAGCCGCACAGTATGTCCTGATGATATATGCAGCGCTGTTCATATTGACAGAGACGTCATCAGTGTCTGCTCTCAGTAGCAGGATGGCTGTTTACCTGCAGTGTGTCTGACGGAGTTGAAGCCCTGCACATGTGAATAGGATGAAATGAAATATTCACATGACTCCTCCAGACTCTCCAATTATTACTTGATTTATTTAGTGCCAATTCACAGCGTAAATCACATCAGTCATATTTACATCGTGTGGTGACGATATTAGAGAGAAACCCAACGAATCGAAATGGTTCCTTTGAGATGTGATTTGGTGACAGCGGGAGGAAAAAACAAAACTCCCCTTTAACAGGAAGAAAGCTGCGGCAGAACCAGGTTCAGTGAGGGCGGCCATCTGCCCCGACCAGCTAGGGTGAGGGTGGGCAGGAGCCCGACCAGTCGTACTGTTGAGCTAAATACTGCAGCATAGAGACATTTGCTGTTCAGCAGTAAACACAGTGTACAGGTGAGTTCTGCAGGTGTTTGGACAAAAACCAAAAACACGAGACAAAGTGCAAGTTTGACCTGATGATGCTCCATCCATCCATCCATCCGTCCATCCATCCATCCATCCATCCAGCCTGGAGCCTGGAGCCTATACCAGCTGACTCAGGGCGAAGGCAGGGAACACACTGGACAGACAACCAGGTCCACTCACATTCTACGGACAATTTAGAATCACCAATTAACCTCAAAATGTTTTGGAGGAAGCTGGAGAACCCAGAGAGAACCTGCAAACCCCACGCAGAAAGGTCCTCACCGGGACGCAAACCTTCGACCTTCTTGCTGCGAGGCGTCGGTGCTAACCACTGATCCACCTTGCAGCCCCCAGATGATGGTGTGAAATGAAAAGCAAGAAAAACTAGCACAGTTCATCCTGAAGTAAACATCAGTGTCTGGACCACAGCTTATGACTTTCAATTAAGACATTTCACTTAAATACAATAATATGATGAGACGGAGGAGAAATTAACGTATCAGGTGAGTAGTTTTAGGACCAAACTTGTCCACCTGACTTGAAGCGCTCACACGGCTAAAGCAGCTTCACCAAAAGGCCACATGACCTGCTGGTCTGGAGCTTCAGATTACTCTTTAGCAGTGGATGGAGTTTATCTATTTGAAACCTTTAACGTACACGTTCTCCTTTTTGTTTTCCTTGAAATGTTCTTCATTTGCTCCCTTTCCTTCACCCTCACCCCAGCAGGTCGAGGCAAATGGCCGCCATCCCTAAACCTGGGTCTGCTGGGCCTCCCTTTGTGGTAGAAGGGAGCTGATCCTCTCCACTGTCACAGATATGCTTCTTTATCAGGAACGTTCAAATTCATTGAGTTTTCCAAGCAT